ACCGGGTCCCTTTGTTCCCCGCGCCGCTGCGGGGCCGGGCTGCGCACCCGGGAAGGGAGGTGCAGCACCGCGCGGCCGGGAGCTGCGCAGACCGGAGGCTCAGGCGGGGTGCAGGGTCAGGGCTGCTGGGGCCAGCTGGTCTCTCGCGCCTCTCCTGGCGGGTCCCGAAGAGGCGATCGCGGGCCCCCCTCTGGTTCTCCTTCGGGGTTGGGCGAGCTCGTGGGGGTCTGTCCCTAGGCAGCACAAGGGCGAGGTAAGATAACACTCCGTTTTTGCAGTTTTCTTGCCCCTCTAATTCCACTTTGTCCCGTTTTTTTGTTTGTTTATTTCTGCAGGGATGGGTCTCGAGTTTGCAGTAGCAATGCTCACTCTGGTGTCTTAGTTACCGGACTTGCCTCCACCCCACCGCACCCTGGCACCCGCGCCTTCGAGTGCCCGAGGGCTCCACTGTCCTATTGTCTTTACCCCAGCCCAGAGTTGCCTCCTATTCTTGTTCTCTTTCCCTCACAGTTTGCTGTGTCGGTCCCACCCGGGGGGAAAAAAAAGCCTCGCCCTTTTGCCTGTGGGAGTCTACGCGGGTCAGCGCCTCCGAACCTAGCCCTTGGCCCGCACACCCGTTATCCCGCCTAGAGGGGAGAAGTTCCGTTACTCGGCTCTTATCCCTCGGTCGGTCACGCTGCCTCATCCCTGCGTGCGCCCTGGGGGCGCTTTCGCCAGGAGCCTCGCACTTTTCACGCTTTCGGAAAAGTGCCAGCTAGCCTTTCTTGGAATCGGTACTAGGGGGGTTCTCCGCGGCAGGAAGCACCTGCTCTGGATTCCCAGCCCGGCCGATCGCCCAACTTTACCGCGGCGTCCTCCCGGAGGATGTCCCGAGGCCGCTCCCGGCTAGCCGGGCAGGTCCCGGGCGGAGACACCGCGCGCCTCCGCCGCGACCCCCGTGTTTGGTGGGGACCGGGCGGGGGTCCTGAGTCTGTCCCCGCATGCGGTGGGGTCCCGGATCGGCTGTAGGGGAGGGGCGTGTCGGCCTCACTGCGGGCTAGTGTCTCCGGGGAAATCCGCCGGAGGGCCCCTGGAGCACCGTCCGGCTGCTGGAGGTGGCCAGCCGGTGGCTGCTCCAAAAAGTGCAGGCAGGCGCGGCTCGGAAGTGTTGCTGCGCCGGGGGCGGCCAGCGCAGGGACAGATGGTGTGGATCACCTTCCCCCCCTTGGTTTTTACGCGTCAAGGCCTGGCACGCTCCGGCCTGGGGAAAGGGGGTTGCGGGCACCAGCGGCAGGACGGGGCCGACACCCGTGGTCTCTCGCGCTTTCTGCCTCCGCCCCTCGAGGGGTGTGGGCCGCGGAGAGGAGCCCTGTCCATGGTGCGCGTGCCGCGGCGCTCCGGGCCCTGCAGGGCCCCGGCGTTCCCTTCCCTCCAGTCTTTCTCTCCCACTTTCCGGCTCTTTTCCTCCCACTGTCTCTGGCCGCCTGGGTCCGGTCTTTCTTTTCTCCTCGGGTTTCTGCTTTTGTTCCTTGGTGTCCTGCTGGTCTTTCCCTTTCCCCTTCCCCCACTGGCCAGTCCGCCCCCCCAGCCTCTCTCTGGACTCTGGGGTTTCAGAACTGTTAGACTAGACATTTTTGGCCTCTGCCGTTTTGGGGAGTGGATGGAATTTCTTTTAACTTGGGGGAGGAGACCTGCCAATCACTTGCTAACAAAAGTACCTCCTGTTATAAAACCACCCTTTATTCTTGGA